CATTTCTAATCAAAGCTGAAAGTCTCTGTGCCAGGAGCGTCTGGGACGTTTCACAACGAGGGAAGGAGTCGGGGGTGTCAGACTGTAGGGCCGTGGCGTGCCCGGGTCGGGAGGACGGCGGTCTGGAAGGGGGCTGGGCGGGGGGTTCGTGGGGGGAGTGGCTCACCAGGACAGGCAGTCCTTGAGGGCGTTGTAATAGGGGAATCTGGAGACGACACACACGGCGAAGGGTATGAAGCAGCCGGCTGCGCCCCCGCTCGGTCCCGACACCTCCCAGTGCGTCTTGCCATTGTAAAAACAGTACTCGTCCTGGAGAAAAAGCAACGGTGCTGTCACCTCCCGACCCCGGCAAACCCCAGCCTCCGTCTTCAATAGTGTGGCATCTCCAGGCGGAAAGGAGACTGAGGGGCCGGACAGCCCTCCTCCTGCACGCCTGGCCCGCCCACTCTGGCTTCACTGTCCTAGCGAGCACCGGCCTTTGGACCAGCTCTGACAGGATGCTTGCACTGGCTGAGCGAGGGGCTCCGGTTACAGGTTCCCGCCCCAGAGAAACTCAGCGCCTTGCGTGGGAAGGTACCCACGGTTAGAACACAGGGAGACGCGAGAAGGGACCCCACTCAGAAAGGGAAATGCAGCATGTGAAGGTCCGGCAACCAGCTGGTTGTCACTGACCAGGGGAGGGGGCAGGAAGGGCCCTGGCCAATGACAGGCAGGGGCGGGGGGCGTCTTAGCTGGAAGAGAACACAGCAGCCAGTTGCAGAAGGCGCAACCCTCTGCGTAGCTTACAAGGGGCATAATGTTGGGGCCCATTATCTGGGCCCCAGGAGATGGCTCTTTGGGGTTGGAAGCAGTCGCCCTTCACCTGTACTGTCTGTTCCATTATTTCCCCAACACGTTCCCCAAGGCCGGCTGGTTCACACACAGTGGCCCTGCCCAGAAAGCACTCCCCAAATGTGTGATGGCTGGGCCACCCCCTCAAAACCCAAGCCTGGGCACCTGCCCTACATGAAAGGTGGAAGCAACCCACACGCCCGTCAGCTGAGAAAGGGGTAAGCAGAACATGGTTTACACACACCGTGAACCACGACTCAGCCACAAAAAAGAATGAAGCACTGCCACACTCCCATGTGGACGAGCTCTGAGAAAATCCAGCTATGTAAGAGAAGTCAGATGCAAAAGGACATGTATCGTGTGTTTCCACTCGCTTGAAATGAAATGACCAGAAAGGGCAAAGGCACAGAGCAGAAAGCAGCGGGGGTGGCCTGGGGCTGGGGCAGCAGGGACCGGGGATCACTGCTGATGGCACAGGACTGCCCTCTGGGGCGATGAACACGCTGTGGAACCAGACGTTGGTGATGGTGGCAGAACATTGTGAATGTACTTAATGACACTGAACTGTATGACTTTTTAATGGCTAAAATGGTGATTGTTCTGTGCATTTTACCACAATTTAAAAAAAACAACCTAGATCCAATTTGAGAGGGAGTCACGGCAATCACGTACGTGCAAGGGTCGGTAGTACTGGGCAACCACGCCATAGGTTCTGTTGCCGCAGACGTCGGTCAGCACCAGAAAATGGACACAGTCCTCCTTGGGCTCAGAGGCCACACACACGCCCCCTGTAGACAGAGAAAAATCAAGAAAAACTTCATTCCGGCCACATGGCATCCACCTTGAGGCCTGCGCTATCCATAAGCCACAGGACACGCCCTCTCCGACTGTCCGCTGCGGCTCTTTGATGCCAGATGTGCAAATTCTTCGGTCACGCACCACCTCCCGACATCCCGCTCCCGTCAGTGGCAATTCCTCTCCACCCTCTGTGCTCTGAAGACTCTGTGAAGGGATGTGGGCACAGCCCAGAGACAAAGACTTCAGGGTGCACCTGGGGTGCTGACGGGGAAGGGGGTGCCCCAGCCTACTCAGGTTGGAATCCCTGAGAGCAGGAAGCCACATCGATTTCTCGATGGAGACTCCAGACAGGTCCTTGCGTCAAGTCTTCTGTGTGAGTCCCCGCACCGGGCCCCCGCACGCTTCTCAAGGACCAGGGAGACAACACAGCCAGAGCACAGGCCGGCTCCTGGCGGGACCTGGCAGGCTGGGGGAAATGCGGGCCGTGCGCACCAGGGAAGCACAGCTGCGGCAGGGCCAGCAGGTCCACGCCGTTGGGGACGCTGACGTCCTCGGGGTCCGGGCCCCTGGGGCCGCCCGGGAGGCCCCTCCAGGGCTCAGCTTTGGGCCGCTCTCTCTTCTTCCGGAAGGAGCGCCTCCTGGGCTTTCCCAGAGTTGCACAGTTCACGCCAGCCGCCGCTCCGTCCTCCTTACTGACGAACGGAGGCACGAAAACGGACAGGACCTCCGGCTCGAGAGAAGACAGGCTCTTGACCCCCTTTCTCTGGGCGACCTAAAACAGGCAGAAGTAGGGGTCACTGCTGCGGGGCCGGCCCTGCTCTGTCGCGTGCTAGCTTTCCCCTCCAGTGGCTGGTGACAGTGAGGAACTGCCCTGAAGGATTCTCAGGCCCTGAGCTCAGCAAGTCAGGGGACCTCTGGTCATGGTCCATCCGCTGCTAACGTGGACCACAACCGGCCCCCGGACGCAAGGGCTCAGTTCAGAGCTGGCACTGCGCAGAGACCTGAGTTCAGATCCTAGCGTGGTCAGAACCACGGCAGCCAATTACTTGCACCCTCCGAGCTTCCCTTTCGAGGGGTGAGTGCAGGGAATAAAGGAGGTGACCCAGGTCAAGCGCTCAGCCCCAGGGACCCCTGGAGGCCCCCCATGTCCCCTCAGAGGCAGGTGGGGAGGGCTCTGCACGTTGTCAAACCCACAGAGATGGGTTTGCCCGCTGGGCCGCCGTGCACATTAGCTCGGTCACCTGGGACCAGGGCAGATGCACAGAGGAGTGAGGCCAGGCCTGATGGGCCCAGAGAGGTACCTCCTTCCTCCATCCACCTGACTGTCCCAGGTCCATACAAGGGGCTCACTGAGCCAGAATCCTTTCAACCTTGAACTTGGTATAAGGTTTTTTTTTTAACTTTTCTATTTTCATTCTTCCCCCAAATAACATAAAGCACCTTCTATCTCTTTTCTATCAAACTAAGCACCTGACAGGGCTCTTCTTCCTAGGCAGTTAGGACTAAACAAATGTTGGTGTCAGACTGACTTCAGATCTTCCCAAGAAGGTGTTTGAAAAGCAGTCTATTCCAGAGAAGGGAGTGGCTCAAGTGTCAAGCCAGCCACAGACAGAAAAGTTGAAAGCAGGATTCTCTGGGTACAAAAGAAATGGGCAGGTACGAGGTGGCCGGGATCCAGGATCTTTGAGGGACCCTAGAAATGGCATCAGGAAGGACACCAGGAGAAATGGGACCTTACCTGGCAGAAGAGGAATAGCCAATATCAGCTTTTCAGCAAGCATCCCTGGTACCAGCAGGGGACCCCTACACTTAAAAGGGTTTCTACAATGGCAGCGCTCCCAGTCAGTAAACACGCACAAACTCAAGAAGCTTACTTTCATGCTCTGTAATTTGAATTCGGGTAAGAGTTTCTTAATATTTGGTGGGTGGGTGGTGGGGAAAGTAATGCCAGTAGGAAGCAAGAGCAAACATGGGACCTCCCTATTATTCTGTCATTTTAAAAGCTTTTGCGTATCCTGCATGGAAGGAATCCACTTCTCTGGGTATAGGAAATCTTTTCTAAAACTTTCCTGTCAAAGCCCAGCAGTTCGGGCCTAGTTCTATGAAAGCCATCTGTCTCCTCCTCACATAAAACGTTATGCCCCTGGAGACTGGGAGGCCCACTACCACACCACGGAACAGCTCTGGACGTACATCCCTGTCAGAGCAGCAAACGAGCTCGCTCCACGTGGCATGTGAGACGGCTGATCAGCCCCTTTCCTGACACTTTGCGAGGATGCCTCCCTTCTGCTGTTTCGCCTCCCCTGCCTGCTCCTTGGTGGCCCCCTGTGGGCCCCTTCCTCCCAGCTGTGACCACCCCTGCCCCGTTCCTACTCACCCTCCAGCCTGTGGAGCAATCTCCACACGCCTGTGATTCTGTCTGTGCACAGGGTGGGCAGCTCCCAGGGTCCCATCCCAGCTACACTCAAGTGGGTCCCCTAAACTTAGAGTTCCAAAAAGTAAGCTCTTGCTCATTTCCAAAAACCTGGTCTTCCACCTCTACGCTCCTCTGTGATGAGGACCGAGCTCCTTGGGGCTTCCAAGCTGGACTCAGCACTGTGTCCCCTCTCTCCCCATCCAGAAACTCACACCTCAGGTCGTGGGCCTCAGAAAGGTCTCTAAAATCAGCCCAGCTGGTGTTCCACCTGTACCACGTTTGCAAACCCACAGCTCAGAGGAGGTACAGATTCACTACGAACTAACCCATCACGGTTACTGCCATGAGAAGAATGACACCGCCTCCTCCCACCTGGCCCTGGGCTCCCCATCTGCATCTCCATCCTTCTCCCAAAGGGGGTCCCTGTCTCTTTAGAGGGGACACGTGGCTCGTCACTCACCTGCCCCAACAGCAGTGGCTTCTGCTGCCTAGCGCCAGCCTCTTACTCCAGCCAGCCAGCCAGCCCCACAGACCCATCTCTGACCCTCTGCCAGACCGAAAAAACATGTTTGTACACATAACTGGTATCACTAGCCACCCTCAGGCAGGTATCGCACAGGTGCATGTGCCACAGGACAGGCCAACCACCTGCACGGGTGCACCTGGGCAGTAGGCCAGCCTGCCTCCAAAGCCACGGCGCCCCAAGCCACTCACTGAGCCCCTCGGCCACCTCGACATACGTGCCTCTGTCACAATGCTGTGCTCTTCCCTGCTCGGCACTCGGCCTGACCCAGCCCACTGCTTGCCCCACCTTCTTACCAGCAACCCCCTCTCCCTCACACTCACCAGAGGGGGCCTTTCCTCGACTGCAGCCGGGCTGCACACCCTGAGGTCATCACCTCCTAGACCACGGCCATGCAGAGTCCACCTGCCCTCCCTCACACCTCTCAGAGCCCGCCTGCCCCACTCCGTGGTGCAGGGCCACCTGTAGAATCTCGGGGTGGGGCAGGGTGGGGAGCCCTGTGCTCCTCTCTGCGGCCACAGGCAGCACAGAGGATGCCTCCTGGGGACGCTGTTCGTCTGCTCGTGCCCCAGCACTCACGATCTCTTAGAGGCATGCTCAGTCTGGACAGAAGACTGGTCATTACGTTAAGGCCGAGAAACTCCGTAATTCTCCCTGTTTATACCTTTGGTCACTTAAAGTGATGTGGCCACAATCCAGTCAACTTGGCGTGCAGCAGTTTATTACATACCTATCTTTTTTTTCCCCAAAATGTAAATCCCTGTTGTCTTTTCTGATTGGAGAAGCAACACAGTCTCATTTTAAAAGATATTAACAACAATATGAAAATAATAAAGGAAATAAAAGAAAGGGAACGCCTTCCCCATAGCCCCACAACTCACAGGTAGCACCCTGCACAGCCTGAGGTACAGGCTTCCCAGTTTTTAATGTATAAATATAATTTTTTCAAAAATACAACCATCATTTTTTTTTGGTTTTGTTTTTGAGTTTTATTTTTAGTTTAATTTTATTTATTTATTTTAATGGAGCCGCTGGGGACCGAACCCAAAATCTTGTGCATACTAAGCACGCCTTCTACCACTGAGCTATACCCTTCCCACTCCACAATCAATATGTTTAAATGATTGCATTAGCTCCCCCCTCCACATTTAACCAGTGTGCTGACCCCCCTGGAGACACCTTAGAGTGTCACAGTGTGTGACAGTTCAGTACTGCATTAGCCCAGTGCCCTCCTGGGGGACAGTGGGGTTGCTCTCAAACCTTCATCTCTGAACACCCTGAGCAACGGGCAGCAAAGACCTCTCACTGACATTCTTTCACACTGCCCACTCTGTAATTAGAATAATCTCCTGAAAGCGCACTCCTGGACCCCAGAGGGTTCGTGTGTTACTTTCTGACACATGTTGCACCTGCCCCTCCCCCCAGAGGAAGATGGGGCCCATGTCCACAGACTCTGCCCGGGGTGGTTTCCTGCTCTTCTCTCCCAGACACTGACTTACTAAGCCCCTCCCAGGACCATCATTTCAGTTCAAAAAGAAAGCAGACTCATTAAAAAGCAAAAACCACAACACTGTAATTCATCTAAGGCACTGTTAGATCACATAACGGCATTGATCTTCACTATAGGATTGGCTGTCACTTGTGAAATAAAACAGAAATGGATTTTTAAAATATGCTCTAGAACGGCATTGTCCACCACAGCTGCCAGTAGCCACATGTGACTATTCACATTTAAACTGATTAAAATTAAATGAAATATAAAATCCAGTTCCTCAGTGGCACTAGCCATAATTCCCGCACCCAGTAGCCATCTGTGGCCAGCTGCTGCCATATGGATGGCAAAGATGAAGACCACCAGTTGTCATCATCTGGTAGGTTCTGTTGGACAGTGTTACTCTAGAAACTGAAAGCCTGGATGCCCGCCACTGAAAAACAAAAATATGCCTTCCCACACAAGACTTACACCAGTGACCTACACTGTGAGAGGTGCTCTGAGCACTTTTCCACCACCCTGTGATGGACCCCTTCACATCCTGTGCTAGTTTCCATAGCAACTAAGGAGTGGAAGGAAATGTAACTGACCACAGTAACTCACTGGGGACTGAACTATATTCTTGAGTTCTTTGTCACTACCTCAATAAAACAAACACCACTCCACCTAAAAAATAAATTAGGTTAGCACAAACAAAGCAAAATGAAAAGTTAGGACACTATACTATAGTAACATTTAGCAAGCATTTCTCCTACCTCTGGGTTTCTGTTTTCATGTGTCACCAAATAGGAATGCCTGAATCAGAAAGAAATAGTGATTTTTTTAAACTAAAATTAAAAGTTATTTAAAAGCCTTGGACATTCAAAATAGAGCTGCTATAAAAATAAACCTGAGTAAGTAAACTCCGATGTTTGGTTAATTGTAACAGTCACGTCAGCCTTATGAATAGGATGTTACTCCATCTCATAACACTGCTTTTTCTCCTGCTCCTTTACCTGTTTCTCCCTCCACCCTTTGCCAAACCCCTAACAGAATCAAAGTGTAGAATAAAGAGGATGAAAGTTAAAGTGCAGAGCAGCCAACTGCACACTCGACCTGGGCAATGTTGCAGTCTGTTCCGTTCAGGAAAGCACCACTGTAAATATTTCAGTTGATTCATCCTGTTCACACTGAGGCAACAAACAGGCGTGTTGTAATCGCCGAAGAAGCAAGAACGCCTAACTGCAGAGAAGCCACAAATGAAACCAGGTCCTGTTCTATCAGAAGAAAAAGGAAGAAATGCCATTTGGCATGGAGAGGCAGGGGGCCAAGTCAACGCAATCCCCAAGGGTCAGAGGAGAC